CTGAACCAGCAACCCTTCAATCACAAGCAAGGGGTCCTAACCCACAGAGCTGCACACTAATCTCATACACTATTGTAAGGAGTCTTACAGAAAAGAATCACCTATGTGACCAAAAGCAGCTTCACACAGTGTCAAGTAACTAATAATCAGAAAATCAATGAAATCTTACATCACAAACCGGCAGAACATCCATGAAAGGGGAAGGGAAATAGGAGAAATGGGACTCAAATGAATGACTTCAGAAGGCAAAATAACGTTAACATGACTGGATGAGACTCATTTCATGCCATGACATTTGCTGTATGACCCTGATTTTCCTAAAATCCCAGCTCCAATTAAAACAAATTCCCATCACAGTATGTGTGCTATTTGCTAACAATCCGTTGCTCAGAAGTGGACAGTGGATGATAAAGGCGCTTGAGATGTTAAGTGTTTCAGATTGACCCGGAAGGCAGCATTGTGCCGTCCCACTGATCGTTAATGTTACCGTGAACAGACAGGGGGCTGCTGCTTTTCTAAGACCCCGCAGGGTATTCAGGATATCTACCTCGCAAGCTGCTCTCCACAGCACCAATCACGCTGTCACCTTCATTCCCACTTACTATCATTGCTGTCCATAAATGGAGCCGGGTGTCGAGGCGCCCTGTCAGGCATTATTATTACAACGATAAAACTGCTAAATCTTCCACAAGGCAGAGTCCATCTGTGCAAGAATTGTGCTTGTATTCACATCAGAGGCAGCACGTGTCCTTCCTACTCGTTCAGCCACCGTAAGGACCTGTAACCCACCAAAACACTTCAGTGGCTAAATGGGATCAGGCACGTCTGCAGGGTGATAAGTAACTCTCAGCTTCCAGAAGACCCTTCAAACAGGAAGTGTGAAGATTCATTTTGGGCTCACTCAGACATCCAAGCACAGTAACTGCCCATCATCACGCCATCCGCCCTCTGCGTAAAAACACAGGGAATGTCTCACGGTAACCCAGGCCAGTGCTTGGGTAACGTGTTTTTTTTTTACTGTTGTTGCTATGCTTTGTTGCTACACACAAGGATGCATTGTGAAAATCCAATTTCACAGCGCCTCAGTGTGAGTAAATTAAAATTGATTGGCAAAACAGTTGCCTGAGATCAAAGTTCATAGGATGTCTGATGAATTTTTCCTAATTTCAGAAATTTTCTGAAATCCTCCCAGAGGAATGTTAAAAATAACCCTGCAACTGAATCACTGAGCAAAACAGACATGACCGCGATGCACTGGTCCACCGCCGCAGTCTTACAGACATGACCGCGATGCACTGGTCCACCGTTGCAATCTTACTTTTTCTGTAAATGCACTTCTTTCACTAAACTGAATCTACATCTTTTCAACATCTTGCAAAAAAATACTTAATTTCTGAATTGCTGTGATGTTCAGATGTCGGCTCTTCAGTGATGTTTTATGAATAAGAAGTGTGCACTGTGCCGAGAGTAACGTGAAAAGGTTGCCTCTGAGAGACCAAGTAAGCAGGTGGCATCTTAGCAAATTTTTCCTGACCCCCCCCCTCCCTCCCCACAAGCATCTCTATCAGGCATCATCAAAAACAGGAAACATTTACAAGAGGTAATCTGACAAGTCCCACTTGAGCGCACAAAGAGGGTCGCTCTCACTAATGGTCGTGCCTATTGCTTTGACAAAGGCAATGCCTATTTATCTGTGCTAAATGAGGCCACCTGGAGAACACAGTGTTCCAGAGGCCAAGTGAAGATTGTGAGATGTGCCATAGATCACAAGCACAAGGACGGACAGAATGTCAGGCCGTCACAGGATGTACATACACTCTCAATGAAACACTGGGGGAAATTCAATTAGCTGTTTTTGTAATGTTGGAGTAGTCCTGAGTACTTGAAGGAAAACAGCGCAACATGGAGAGAACACGCAAAGTCCATGCACACAGAGCGGAGGTGAAGCCTACATTCCTCTGTCCAAAATGATACAAATCTCAGAGGTGAGTGGAACAGATTAAGCAGCATACAGTATGTAGTGTTACTCACGGTCTGCCTCTGTAACACACATGACTCCCAGTTGGCACACGTCCATTCCCTTCAGTGCCGATGATGAATGATTGTCAGTCATACTCCAGCAGATCACAGAGAATCAGGCCTGATTTGGGTGAAGAGGCTTATATTGAGGTATATTCACTGAAGCACTGAGATGGTCAGCTCAAGGCCAGCTTCCGTATAAGGAATATTTCAGCTAAAGACTGGTCTGCACATTGGCCCCATTACCTCTGCTTACTCCTCTGTGATCTGCTCCTTGGTGATCTGCACGTTCGCCCTGTGACCTCAGCTTCCTCCTCGGTGATCAGCGTGTTCGCCCCGTGACCTCCGCTTCATCCTTGGTGATCCACATGTTCGCCCCAGGATCTCTGTTTCCTCCTCGGTGATCAGCGTGTTCGCCCCGTGACCTCCGCTTCCTCCTTGGTGATCTGCACGTTCACCCCGTGACCTCAGCTTCCACCTTGGCGATCAGCGTGTTCCCCCCGTGACCTCAGCTTCCACCTCGGCGATCAGCGTGTTTGCCCCGTGACCTCCGCTTCCTCCTCGGCGATCAGCGTGTTCGCCCCATGATCTCCGCTTCCTCCTCGGTGATCAGCGTGTTCACCCCATGATCTCCGCTTCCTCCTCGGTGATCAGCGTGTTCACCCCATGATCTCCGCTTCCTCCTCGTTGATCAGTGGGTTCGCCCCATGATCTCCGCTTCCTCCTCGGTGATCCACACATTGGCCCCATGACCTCCACTTACTCCATGATGTAACAGAAAACCTGACCAGGCCACCTTCCTCCATTGCTTCCTGCTCCAGGTCTGATGCTCATGTGCCCATTGCAGGCACCTTTGGTGGTGGACAGGGGTCAACATGAGCTGCGCAGCCACATACGCAGCAAGCTTTGATGCACTGTGCATTCTGACACTTTTCTATCATAGCCAGCATATTTTTCAGCAGCTTGTGCTACAGTGGGTTTCCTGTGGGATCAAAACAGAACCTTGGGCACCCATGACCTCAACACTGGTTCACCAGTTAGCTGTTCTTGGATCTCATTTCGTTGGTACTGACCGCTGTATAGCAGGAACACCCCACAAGACCTGCCATTTTTGGAGATGCTCTGACCCAGTCGTCTCGCCATCACAATTCGGTCCTTGTCATAGTCACTCAGATCCTTACTCTTGCCCATTTTCCTGCTTCAAACACATCAAATTCAAGAACTGACTGTTCACTTCCCTGACATATAATAGTCCCCTTGACAGGTGCCACTGTAATGAAATAACCAATGTTATTCACTTCACCTGTCAGTGGTTTTAATGCTATGGCTGATGGGTGTATATGAGTGAGTAAAATGTCCCAAGGTAACGTCGTTTGAAGTTCAGAAGCACTACTATGCAGAACTGCTAAATTCCATGCAGTCCGTTAGACCGTTTTGATGTTACACACATAAGCCACCTTCTGCCCCATTCATAGACTTACAGGGGCTTCATGCTGCATGTATTTCATTATGTGTGACTGGATCCTGCAGCAGAAACTCTATTCACCACCTTTAATATCTGCTCGTCCAGTCGTGACGTGAGGCAGAAGCCATCAGTCCCTAACTGGGCATTTACTTACTATACAGTCTATGACAATGAGCAATTTAAAGTCACCAAGGCCTCTGTAAAGTCCAAAGAAACTCACATGCACATGGAGAGAATATGCAGACTCTGCAAATCCCGGCTATGCGAGGCATCAGCTCCACAGGGTCTCAGCAAAACATGACCGATTCACCAAATACAGCAGTACATCACTAAATGCAATTTGACATCATTAAATATGGTAATATACCTATAACAGTCCGGATAATTAAGTGACAAAAATTGCTGAAACCTTCGTGAGCAAACTAATACCTTTGTTGACAAACAAAATTGGGGTGAGTATTTCATCGTTTAGTTTACTATGATCATCTAGCCACACGGCTCAGCTGACTCAGACATATCAATATAGCCTACACACAACTACTCCACAAAATTTTTAAAAGGAAATAATCCTGTTTCATATCCTCAAGCGGTAAGCTACAGTTTACAGCCAAAGCAGGATCCCAGCGCTGCCGTCAGTCCCTTAATGCAACAACATAGTCCGGGAAACATTCTTCAATCGTGGTGTTAAGCTTTGCACTGTTCGTGAAAATAGACAAATTTCTATGCATGTACGTATTTTTTAGAGTTATTTTTAAAATCGAACGTACTGACTATTCATCTATGTATTCACTTAACACCAAGTACTACTGGCAAAAATTTAATCAAGCGGTGCACCGTCGAGAATATTTCCTTGTTCTTTACTTCTGTAAACTTCTACATTCGACTTAAATATCATTGTCTTCATATCCAAGAAAGGAAATGAGATTAACATCAAATTTCCAGGCGGGGACTTCGATCACGGCGGGGTGACAGCTGTTAACAGTGCTGAGCGTGACGTATAGTTAACAAAACATGTCAACAGTAATCATCTTGCTTATATTTTGCGTTCAAAATTCCATCAGTGCAATTAAATTCGTTTTCAGTGACAATTCCAGAAGAATCAACGGCAATTAAAACATGTAAATCAAATAATTGCTATTCAAAGAGGTATCATAACAACCGCGTTATCCACTGAAATTTAACAAAGCATATTTTTTTTGTTCTGAAGACAGCCAGCTAACTTACCCCGCGTGGTGAATGGCTGCAGTGGAGAGTTATCAATCTATTACATAAACTTTAACCATTTGGTCGCAATGCTGGGGTACTGGGACAGTTTAAAAAAGATAAAAGCACAATGGGTTTTTACAAGGACTTAATTCTCCCTTATAAAGCATATTATTTCCACAAATAAATAAACAAATAGATAAATAGATCGAAATATCCGACCAATGCTTTAAATTATTTCCACTTTGAGAAGTTCCCGGCGGTGCGGGAAAACAAAGAGGGAAACGTGTTTCTTAAAAAGCACCTAACTTACCCATTCCAACACGCGTATAAATCCAAGGGGTAATTTTAATACCCGAAATGTTCCAACAGACACGATCTGGGAATGAAATAAATGACAAATTGAATAATGAGTAAACAACAAAATTAACCTTGTTTCTATATTCGTAGCTTGTAAACTGGCAATAATACCTGGAGTAAATAAAACATTCAAGCCTACCTGGTCAGCAGTATCCATTTTTTCAAACCTTGATTTTCAACGCTATATGTTTTATGGTATATTACGTGCTGTTGAGCGATAGGTAAACTGGTTAACGAGGTTAAGCCAAACCAAGTGACTGCGAGCGGCGGGCGCGAAGGCGGACTGGCGGCTCTAATAGCTCCCCGCACGGAAAGAGGCGCACGCCGGGGGCTCGGCACCGCGGAGACGCGCTGGGATGGGCGTCGTGGACATGAACGGCGGTCCCCGCATTTCGCAATCGCAAAACATCGATCACTGTCGCTGTATTATTTGTCGCTGTCGTGTGCAGTGAAATATGTGCACCATCAAGTCAAAGGCAAAGAGGCACGAGAACATCGTCACCCCAGACGGTGTATCAGGCTCAAAGTAAAATCTGCCAAGTGTTTGGCTGAATTTGTGTATAAGGAAAGCAGTGAGGATGCATACCCCTACTGAGTAGACGGGTAAAAACCATTACTGGCCTGTTCAGTATCTGTGCCCAATATGAAATAACTGAAAACGTTTATATATGCTTTTGATGTATCTAATTTTAGATTTATAATGGAATAATATAGATTTGCCGCAAGATTTCTTGCATGACCGCCAGAATCTGAAAGCGTGATTGTCACGCCAGATGCGTGAGACCTGACAACCCTGCATCTATGCTGTTTCGATAAGCACCTGAAAAGTGCCCTAACTGGTATATCCGTGAGTGGAGTTTAGCAAAATCTCTGGATTTTTTTTTTAAATTACGTTGATTGAACATTATATCTGGACAAGGGTGATACAGTAAGTACAATTAATGCTTCAGTTTTGAGACATTGCTCAACTGCAGGGGTGTCAAACTGCAGTCCTAGGGGGCCAGAGCCCTGTGCAGCTTAGTTCTTTCCCTGTTCCAACATAAATGATTCAGCTCAAGAGCTGTGTGGTAATTAGCACAAGGAGTTGAATCAGGTGTGTTAAATGAGGGGAAACCCAAAAATGTGCAGGGCTCCGGCCCCCCAGGACTGGAGTTTGACACCCGTGCTCTACCAGAATGTACAAGGTATGCAATTACCCTGAAAGTCAGTAAAAAGGTTTTTGAACAGTCTTCTGAATCAAAGTAAATTGATTGAAGGGGCCCTAAAAGTGAATCTTGTTGGGGCCCCATTTACAGCGGAGAGGATGAGGCGGCTGCTGGCTCTGGCAATTCATCAGCCAGAAGCTGCATGGCTTCACTGTCCACTGCCCACTGTCCACTGCCCACTGCCCACACCTTTTAATCATGCATCCATTGCCTTAACTGGCACAGCCTTAGCTAGGCTAGTGCTAAGCAGCCTGTTACAGAGCATCCCAGTGAGACGGCAGCATTGCTCTCTCCGTGTCCGGGGCTGGGGACTCACATCTTCATGAAGTTCCTCTCCCAGGTCTTGTCCAGCTCGCCTTGTCTCTGGGTGCAGTAATGACAGGTCTCCGTCGTGACTGCCCCGCCCATGATGGGAGGCCTGTAAACAGTCCAGCAGATGCCTGCCACCCTTCCAGCCCTGGCAGCTGGCAGTCGGATCAGGGTGGGTGCATCTGATGCTGGGTGGGACCAGCTGGGGCAACTAATGGTGACAGTAATTATGCATTAACCATTAAACAGCCTCATGAACAATGCCATAAGATCATTAGATGCAGACTAGCATCTAGCTCATCAATATTTTGGGCAACAGCATTATTTCTTAGTAGTTTGCTCAGTACATGAAGAAAAAGCAGGTTAACTACAAGTTCACTGTCCCAAACCATATGCTTCTTTTTACCAGAACAAATCCAGCTTTTCTGTGTAGCCCTGGATATATTACTGTACCAATTTAGGTGCAGTTCCTAATTTGGGTGGCTCATTGGCTCATTGGCCCTGTAGCTCTGTGGCTCAGTGGCTCATTGGCCCTGTGGTTTAGTGACTCAGTGGTTCCATTGGCTCAAAGGCTCAGTGGCTCTGTGACTCAGAGACTCTGTTGGTGGCTCCTTTCACATCCAGGTTTGGAGATTACAGTCCTACCTGTGTGTGCGTGCAATTTTCACGGACTCTCTATGCTGCAAGTGTTGCAATTAAGCAAACTGGCATAATAAAACTGCCTATATAGTATGATTGCGAGTGTGTGTGCCCTGTGATGGACTGGCACCCCGTCCAGGGTGTACCCCTGCCCTGTGCCCCGTGATGGACTGGCACCCCGTCCAGGGTGTACCCCAGCCCTGTGCCCCGTGTTGGACTGGCATCCCGTCCAGGGTGTACCCCTGCCCTGTGCCCCGTGATGGACTGGCATCCCGTCCAGGGTGTACCCCTGCCCTGTGCCCCGTGATGGACTGGCACCCCGTCCAGGGTGTACCCCAGCCCTGTGCCCTGTGATGGACTGGCATCCGTCCAGGGTGTACCCCAGCCCTGTGCCCTGTGATGGCACAGGAGTTTGGTAAGATCAGGCCTGAGCTGAAGAGGCCTCTGTCCCAAGCTTTATATGCAGGGGCTCAAGTAGAATTTTTTATTTTTTGCTGGAGATCTTTTTCAGCAGCTCTGCCAATAAACCAGTGGACTGACTTTCCCATGGCAGAAGACAAGCATAAATGCTTTTCATATCCTAATGTTCAGTTCAGTCCAATTCAGGACCTTTGTTTCATTCACTTTGCCTCACAGGCATAGGATACATACAGATAACTGTGCACAACATCCATTGGTGAGACAAAAATGGGTACAGTAAGGAGTCTGATGTTCCTTTCAGCCATTATAAAAGGGCGACCTTCATTATTCTTGCCAAACAAAAAAGTAATCATCACAGTGGATGTGGGGCGTTTTGTTCGTGCAAATTAAGCAGATTGACAGCAGGCAGCGGCGATGAAGGAGATCTTTATATTCCCTGTTTCCAGACTTTGTTGTCTCTCACAGAACTCTTTGGCGGTATATAGTCCTGGGGCTGATTGTCTCCAGGTTGAATAAATAAACTAAGAAGCCAGCAGCACAGACTGACAGCCAAAGGCACGTTTCCCCCCCTTCAGAGGACAGCGTGCTTCTGTCAGCTGCATCAGGACTTTTATAGCCTACAGGTCAATGGTCCGCATCACATTTTTGTTCAAAGTCAGAGGTCTAGAACAATTCTCAATAACAAAATAGCATTTCATGATCTTTAATAAATTATCAATAATTTTCTATATTGGATATGAATATATAACAATAATGAGCACATAACGTAAGGACTGGTTTAACGCTTGATGATTGTTTAGACTCTCTGATTGCAGGGGGGTTGGGGGGGGGGATTATGACAAGTTATGTGCGTGCGAATTTGGTGGTCCTTCATTGTATTTTTGTACTTCAAATCTCATTAAGCTTTTTAACACTAACCACGTGAATTCATAAAGTACCTTATTGGCTGGGACTAACCTGGAGCTCGGTCCGCATTTGGACCGTGGTCTGCACTTTGAGAACCCTTGCTATAGCACTGTGTGTTCATGGTCTGCACTATGAGAACCCTTGCTATAACACTATGTGTTCGTGGTGTGCACTTTGAGAACCCTTGCTATAACACTATGTGTTCGTGGTGTGCACTTTGAGAACCCTTGCTATAACACTATGTGTTCGTGGTGTGCACT